CTGTATATATATTATAATTCATAATTATAATTTCATGTCTGAATTGACATGAGGGTGAGTAAATGATGACGATGTAAAGTATAGGGCTGCATGATAATGGTTAAACTGATAATGGTCAAACTCCAAATTAATTGTGATTAATGTCATTTGAAGAGCTTCATTTTATATTTAATCAGAATTATTGCACTTTCACATAAGCACAAATGAAGAGAGCATCGACTCATAAGCATGATTGCATTACGAAAAGTGGAAAAACAGGAACCTGTGAAATTCCTAATATTGCAACAATTCCAAATTATGTTAATGTTTTTCTATTAAAACAACAAAAATGACTTTGCATTGTGACACAGAGGTTACGTAAATGCATCTATTCAGCAGCCACAATCGCAAAGAAGAGTCGAGATCCACGTTTAGATTGATTAGTTCATCACTGAGGTTTGATTGCAAATGTAGTCGCAGCAAACAGCACAGAATAATCGCAAAGCAATAAATGTGATCACAATTAAAATACGATTTATATAGCATTTCTTAAGCTACGTATGCTAGACTGCAGTCTTCTTGAGTTAAAATCATTGCGTCAAAGAGTCCTTCAGATTTAGAAGGCAGAAGTAGGTGACAGAACGCAGAAGTGTGTATTTGCCGAAACAAGTTTTAATAAAGCAGCTATTGCATAAGCAACACTTGCTCCTCCACCCCTGGTTCCTGAATAGCTGGTTTTCTCTGGAGGCTCGTGAAACAATGGATTCCAGGCAGGGGGAGCGATTTTCCTCTGAAGTCTCCACCATCACAGGGAGAACCAGGGAATGAATTAAGGCCTTTGTACTTGTCCAAGAGGTTTCGGCTGAGACGAATCCAATACTGGAGGGTGGTAACGTGGAAGTGGGCGTAAAGAAGAATGAATGCTATTTAGCATCTGCGACGTTCACTTTGAGTGAAAGAACTGATTCTTCCAATCTAGATTCTTGCAAGGTCACCTAGACTCTTAAAAAGTTCTTCACTAGCATTGATGGTTCCACGAACAATCTTAAAATTCCATGGAACCATTCCATTCCAAATGTTCTTTAAATTTGAAAAAGGTTCTATATATTAAAATGTTCTTCGCACTAACAAAAAAAAAAATTGTTCTTTAAAGAACTGTTCGTTGAAAGGTTCATTTGGGAAGCCAAAATGGTTCTTCTATGGCACCACTGAGAAAACCTCTTTCGGAATATTTATTTTTAAGAGTGTATAGGCGCATTTTAGCCATCTGAAATGCATGCAGCTGCACAAACAGAAGGCCTGTCTGGTGGTAAACAAGTCTCAAGCATGAGGCTGGTAATGAACGCCATCTACACACTCCGAAGTCAGATGACCTTCCACTGCAGTGGCTTTCTGGTCATCAGGCGTGGGCTATTCAGGCACTGATGCAGTTACACAACCTCAGTCTTATGAAGAGGATAAACGTCTGCTTTATTTCATACTTATGCTCCATGGCACCACCATAAACAGGCCTCAATGACACCAGCACCAGATGTGCTACAAAAATCAATAAATAACTGTAAAAGAGCGACCCATGGTGACATCAGAAGCTTTTTATAACCTTTTAATCTAGATGGAGGCGTTCTATGAATTCTATATTTTATGTAATAGCCAGAAATAAGATTTCTTTATTGGAATTTCCCACAAAGACTCAATCATCACAGACATATAAACATCTGAGTAACATGCACGTTGATTAGCAGATTCTTGTAAATTCAGGCCATCTAATTTCAAAGCCTGAAATATGGACAGTAATCTTCTTACCAACTATCCTATTGTTCTGTAATAAGAAAAATGTACCATGGTAATGCAATGTTTTAGACATGCACCATGGTAATTCCATGGGATTTGATTGGATTCTTCAAAGCACACTGAAAGGGATAGTCCACCCAAAAATTTTAATTGTCATTATTTTCTCACTCTCATGTCGCTCCAAACCTGTGTGACATAAACAGTGGTTTGGTTACCATTGACCTTCCATTGTATTTTTATTTTCCATTGTATTTTTATCTTATTTTTGTATTATAAAATATCTTCTTCAGTGTTACACAGAAGAAACGATGAGCAAATGTTGAAAATTGTATTTCTGGTTGAAGTAAAATTAAGTACCATTTAAATACACTTAAAGGTCCCCTGAAATGCTTAGAAACAGCAGCGTTACTTTATGTGTTGACGTCATTTTAACTGAAACAGGAAGACAGTGCGGGACATATCAAGCAGCCCCGCCCCTTATTAAAATAGCCAATAGCGTTTGTTTATATCATAGCTTGGGCTAGAGCCGTTGAGCTCCGTAAAGCCGCATTTGACAGGGTACACATCCACAATCTCATCCATATTGCTATAAAATATAGCATTCTGTGTAG